CTGCGCCACCAGGGAGGACCCGTTACTATGATATTTTTAATAAAAAAGACAAATATTGATGAAGATGGGGAAACTGGCAAACACACACTGGTGGTGAGAATGTACACTGGTATGGTGACCTTGGAAAACAACTTTGTAGTTTCCCAAAAAGTTAAGCATAGAATCAGCAGTTCCTCTGCTGGGTCTATGTACCCAAGATTACCTAAAACACGTCCACACAAAAACTTGTGCACAAATGTTCATAGCAACATTGTTCGTAACAGGCAAAACAGAAACAGCTAAATGTCCAACAGATGGTGGCTAACCAAATATTATTGGTATATTATTGGTATATTATTGGTATATTATTTGGTCACACAGAGGGAGTACGGATATATGCTGATATACCTAGGATGAACCTTGAGAACATGATGCGTGAAAGGCCACATGGAATGAGCCCATTTATATGAGATGCCCAGAACAGCAAATATTTTGATATAGAAAGTAGATAGTGGTTATCAAGGACTGAAGGATAGGAGCAGATGGTGACTGTTAATAGATATAGGGTTTCTTTTGAAGTGATGAAAATATTCTGTAATTAGATATTTGGGGCCTCCCTGGTGGTGCACAGGTTAAAGTTTCAGCACTATCAAGTTATGAACTCATGCCAGATACTGCAGCATGAGTTTGATGCCCGACCAGGGAGCTGACCCACATGGTGCAGCAGACCTCTCCTGTCTAACCCGTTTCTCCCCTCAGCCGGTGTATTTCAGTAAATTTGTCTGTTTTGCTCCTCACTCTGTCATTGATGAATCCTCTCACCCTTGCCCCAACTCTAGCCTATACTCCAGTTCTTGTATGCATCAATAAATCTTTAAAAAAATTAGGTATATACATGACTTTTGAATGTATCAAAAAGCTACTGAATTGTATGCTTTAAATGGTGAATTTTATATTATGTGAATTATAACTTAGTAAAAATAAAAATACTGAATAAGTGAACAGATGAATAAATGAACATATCTGCTTCCTTACTAGACTGTGTGGGTGATGAAAATAAAGTTATAGACATGTTATTCTTTAGCACCTGGCACAAATCTGGCTACATGGCAGTGGTCGGTAAATGGATGCTGAATGAATACTAGATACACAGGAATTCAGTAGGCAATAGAGCATGCTGCAAAAGAAAATCATCCCATAAGTGGGCAGCTTCATGCTCACACTTGTGAATACAGTGATGACAGCTTCATCAGAGTATGGCAGGATAGTGCACCAAAGTGTCTTTACCTGCAGGTTAACAAAACAAACACAACTTTCATTCCAGGTCCAGTTCTACTTCTATTGATAATTCACTGTTTAGCCCTGGGTAAGTCCCTTCCCCTGATAACTATGAGAAGTTTCCAGCAACACACTGAACTTAATTCTTTCTCTGTTGAAGTTTCTATTTCTGAAGTTCTCCCTGGAGACAAGGAAGTGACTTGAATTTAAGTGCCAGAGGCAACTTCCCAATTTTCCTAATATAATGACAAGTGGAAAATGGATATTTAATAGTTGCCTGAGTCACTGGCCTTAAGCTGGCTTGGCAGTTTCTTTTGTTTTTTAATCTAGGAGATAGTCATCCTCCTGTGCTGGTAAGGCGACATCTTTAAAAATTATAGACTGTTGGTCCTCTCAGGTCCAAGTCCTGCCAGTATTTAGTGTGAGGACTTTAAGCAAATCACAACCTTCATTCCCCTCAGAGGGAAATATGAACAGCTATGTTATTTGAGGCCTAACATATTGCATAGCTTTGTTCTAAGTACTTAAGAAATTTAAAAGTGATCACATCCCCTCCTGGTGCCCTAATCTCATTTTATTTTCCCTTTAAACTTCATAAATAAGGTAGACAAGTGCAACTGCATTAGAAGCAAGCACGACCCAGATCAAATGTACTTTAAAGGGAAACTTGGAGGGGTTGGGAGGTTATTTCGGATCTGGTTATAATAGATGATTGGAATAGTTGGTGCTGTTCCATCACTCTGCTTTGAGTGATATATACATACATTACATACATACA